GGCCTTGTACACCTCAATGTCGCCTTGAAGCTGCGCGTACTCCTTCTGTTCTTCGGCACTAAGCGGGGTCTTCTTCTTGGCATCCTTCTTGGCATCCTTGTCCTTCTTGGAGCTACCTGGATCCTGCTTTTCCTTCAGCTCGTTCAGGCGTGCCACCATGCCTACTATCTTCTCGTTCTTGTTGATCTGGCCACCGCTCATGCCCTGCTCTTTCAGGATGGCCTTCTCCTCGAAAAGCAGGTCAACACGTGACCACACCACAATCATTCGACACTAGCCGCTAGCCTCGCACACAAGCCACTAATGCCTTATTCAACATTCCACAGACATGCACATGGCATGCCACCCCCGTCCTCGATGATCTTCTGCTTCAAGTCATCGAGCTCCTTGAGCTCATCGGGGCTGAGGCCTGCGCTCTCCTTCTCTTTCTTCTCCTTCTTTGTGTCCTTGCGGGTCTTCTGCTCGGGGGCCTCCTGCACGGTCTCCGGCTTCTCGATCTGCGGAAGCACGGCGGCCTTCGTGACGAAGTGGCCGAACCTCTGCTCTTAGACGGCAGACTAGAGATATCGTTCTGCGGAGGTCTCTGACACACTGTGAGTGTCAGAGGCAAACAACATGCACAACAGACGCGCTGAAAAGAGAAGATTCCGAATAGTCAAGGAACTTTGGCTCAAGCCCCTTCACAATCTTGCAGGCATCCACATACTTGTGTTCGTTCTTCAGCTCGGCAATTTCCTTTCCCTTGGCAGAGCGCTCCTTCTTATTGTCTTTGCCAGTCAGCTGGTTTGATTCCGTCTCCAACTTGGCGATCCTTGTCTCAACCTCTTTCTGATAAGCCTCGGCCGCGGCGCTGTCGTACTCAGCACCAGAGGCCTCAGTGGCCTTCAACAACTTCATGCCGATTTCTGCCTGCAATTCGAGCGCCCCACCCTTGACTCGGCCATCGACGGCGGCCATGTTGAACAAAGAGCGAGGCAAAGTGGCTAGCAGCGAAGCACAGCGACTACAATGATGGCTCGAGCCAGGTGATATTCACGAGACAGCAGACCCTCGGCAAAGGTAGCACGGAATCAAGGTGGCATACGGCAAATCGCTGCTGGCGTGACGAGACACTTGCGTAATCGAATCAAAACATCGGAAAGGGAAACGGGCAGGTGAAGAGTTAGTGATTCTTGTGGGCAACTGAGGAGAGCCTTACCCATGCCACGATGCCAGATTTTGCTGGAATGGCGCACGCGGCTGGCCGGGACGGTGTTGCTGCTTATCGCTGGCGCTTCGAGAGGTCAGAAACTGGTGCTGAAGCGTTGGGCAGACATGTTTATCGAGTTGGTGTTGCGGCGTGAGTCTCATGATGTTGCAAGCTTGCAGCAGTGAAACCAGCACGGGCTTGGTCCAGGTAGCACATGACGGTTTCTGAGTTGATTCTATGTCTCTGCCTCCTCCGCGGCCCGTGTGGCAAGAAAGCTGCACATCGTCAAAGCCATATTTGGATTTCAGCACCTTATAACTACGCCTTGGAGGCATCGATTCACTTACAGTGGGCCCCCTCGTATCGTATCGGTGGCACACGTCCCCTTCTTCCGGTTTTGCTTGCCCAGGGAAGCTCAAGAATCAAGAAGTTGCTTGTTTATCCAGGTTAACAACACACTCACGACTAGAGCGGCTTGCATGCGATGCAACAATGCTTGCTTTGCGAATGGCTGTGCGATGGTGACCGGCCAGCTTAGCCTCCTTGCAGCTTGTTTGGAAGGGGTTTAGCTATCTCTGCTCCCAACGGCTGCTACCCCTTCGAGACCTGAATCACAACACTCATACTACTCACACCGACAGGATCAAGAACAGCTTCGCAGAGCAGCAGCACCAACCCGAGCCAGTGAGAGTTCTGCAACAAACGCTTCACTGCATCGCCATGTTTTTTCAACGAACTCATGCGACCGGAGCGTGCCACAATTGCCCCGGAGAAAGCGTCGACCCTTTTCCATCCGTCCACTTGGTTGCGCAATCAATCACAGAAAGTCGGAATTGCCATGCTGCTTAAATGCACGCTGGCGGCTTCGGACACATGTCTGCATAACACCTTAAGTCAGAAAGATGGAGCTTACGGTCTGTGCCTGCTGATGCCTTCTGCGGTTTCTGGATAAGCCTCCTCGTCGATCGGCGCAAACTGTGACGAAGACAACGTCAAATACTAAGACCCTAGGACCATATAGGAATCTCCATTGTCAGGATTTCGTCGTTGATAAAAATTGAAAGTTCAGGACTTTTATCCGCTGAACAAAGCATGGAGAGCGGAAACGTGAGCCGGCCAGAGTGTTGGCAAGGCTGCCCTCCTGCTGGCGAAACTCGTGGATTGGCAATGCCACCCAGCAGATGCATCGGGCAGGGCTCGGTGCACCGCCGCTAACTGGCAATGCCACTCCACATGACAAAGAGCTGCTTTTGAGCTCTCACCGCTACGACGCTGTGACTCAGCTGCGCTTTTCGAAGGCTGCCAACCGGGCCTCCATCTCTTTGAGATCAGGATCGGCCTTGATTTCCTTGTTGCTGTAGCCGAATTCCGTGCGCAGCTTGGCCTTGTACACCTCAATGTCGCCTTGAAGCTGCGCGTACTCCTTCTGTTCTTCGGCACTAAGCGGGGTCTTCTTCTTGGCATCCTTCTTGGCGTCCTTGTCCTTCTTGGAGCTACCTGGATCCTGCTTTTCCTTCAGCTCGTTCAGGCGTGCCACCATGCCTACTATCTTCTCGTTCTTGTTGATCTGGCCACCGCTCATGCCCTGCTCTTTCAGGATGGCCTTCTCCTCGAAAAGCAGGTCAACACGTGACCACACCACAATCATTCGACACTAGCCTCGCACACAAGCCACTGATGCCTTATTCAACATTCGACAGACATGCACATGGCATGCCACCCCCGTCCTCGATGATCTTCTGCTTCAAGTCATCGAGCTCCTTGAGCTCATCGGGGCTGAGGCCTGCGCTCTCCTTCTCTTTCTTCTCCTTCTTTGTGTCCTTGCGGGTCTTCTGCTCGGGGGCCTCCTGCACGGTCTCCGGCTTCTCGATCTGCGGAAGCACGGCGGCCTTCGTGACGAAGTGGCCGAACCTCTGCTCTTAGACGGCAGACTAGAGATATCGTTCTGCGGAGGTCTCTGACACACTGTGAGTGTCAGAGGCAAACAACATGCACAACAGACGCGCTGAAAAGCGAAGATTCTGAATAGTCAAGGAACTTTGGCTCAAGCCCCTTCACAATCTTGCAGGCATCCACATACTTGTGTTCGTTCTTCAGCTCGGCAATTTCCTTTCCCTTGGCAGAGCGCTCCTTCTTATTGTCTTTGCCAGTCAGCTGGTTTGATTCCGTCTCCAACTTGGCGATCCTTGTCTCAACCTCTTTCTGATAAGCCTCGGCCGCGGCGCTGTCGTACTCAGCACCAGAGGCCTCAGTGGCCTTCAACAACTTCATGCCGATTTCTGCCTGCAATTCGAGCGCCCCACCCTTGACTCGGCCATCGACGGCGGCCATGTTGAACAAAGAGCGAGGCAAAGTGGCTAGCAGCGAAGCACAGCGACTACAATGATGGCTCGGGCCAGGGCAGCAATCTCTCAGATGCACCGTAGGCACAGGCAACGCAGGATCTGGCATATTGCTGCAACGCACAGGGCGTGCAAATCACGCACAAGCAATCTGGCAAGCACAGCAATTCCTCCTCAGCGACCTCGCAGACGAGAGTACCTCTGCAGATCAAACAGCAGGGCTGCAGAAAACTTTCGTGCCTGGGTTGCCTCTCTGACCACCGCTTGGAGTTTTCGGATTCTGTTCCGAACAAGGATCAGATTGGGGGCAGTGGCCACCCTGACCCCAATTCCGAGTTTAGTTGCTGAGAAAGTCACTCCAAGATTGCATCATGGGACTGCGTCCAAGTCGGAACCTAGCAAATCTTCGCAATGGGTTCCAAACACTTGAAACACTTGAAGAGTGCCACGGTAGTCCCAGCTGTGGGCCTGCATAAGACCCACGATCATTGATAATATGCTGAATCTAGTGACAAGGCTCCATGGGCCTCCAGACTCTAGGCAACACTAGTGCACAGATTGGCATGTCTCAGCTAAAAACCAGAAGGGACGACGTAACCACGAGCATGCAACACCTTTGCCTGCGAGGCTGGTCCCTCGATGGCTCGGTCGCATCATGAATCCGAGAAGGATGGCAGGGCCAAAACGACTGGACTAGTTCTGGGTTTGCTACTTAACCAGCCAAGAATGCTAGCTGCGTCCAGCCTGGCTGCTAGGACTGCAAGGAAATTCTGACAAATTACCGAAGCAACGAGACTCACCACGTGGTAGTAAGGGCATGTCGGCTTGTAGGCTTGAGTTGCGTTGGGTAGTAAGGGCATGCTCGCCTTTTTCCCGGTCTTGGCCTTTTCCTGCTTGCGTCCTCGCCCCGGCTGGCGAGAAAAGATGTGCCAGCTCATGATGGTACGCAAGTCCATGTCTTGAGGGAGGGAAGCAGCATCGCGCTTTCTTGGGAGCTGCACAATGCCACTTGCAACCAACTTGCTCACGATCTCGGCTCCATTTCTGTCCGCAAGACAAGCATCAACTCTGGCCTCGTTGACAGCGACTAGTGACTAGTGACTAGAGATGATACCAAACCCTGGATGCTTCAACATCTTCAACAAACCTCGTCTGTTCTGCAGGGATCACTGGTTTCTCGTGTGCTTTGCCTAGCCTCGTGATTTGTTTTAAGGTTCGCAAGGTCAACCTGGAGGGCCTGAGCATCTGCTGCTTTTGGGTGAGACATGGCCGGCTGGAGCGAGCGCTCAGGCCGGGGAATGAGCCGACCTCGAGGCAAGGCCTTGCAAAAGCCGCAGCGACGGTTCCAAACGGTTCCAAAAAGTCAACTACCTTTTTGGTGGCGTGTACTCGGAGTAGGGCACACACCCGGCACCAGTGCAAAGGTGTGGACATTTTCCGAGGAGGTTGCCGCTAGCCGTTAGCCGCAGCTAGCCAGCTGCAGCCCATGCAGAGCGCACCTGCGACCAGGCCCCAACGCCCCGAGGCGGAGCCACAACGCTAGCAAAGCGTCTCAACTCAGTCCGTCCCGAGCCCGGCACTCGGGGCTTGCGTCCTGAAGGACGTCCGACTTCAAAGGAGAGTTCCACAGGCTGAGGGCACTTGACCTGTCCTGCTGCCCGTCGCCGCTTTGCTGCTGCGCCTCTTGAGGCTGGTCAAGTTCACAGTAGGTCGAGCTGACCAATGCATGGCGCTACTTAGATGGTTTCTTCAGAATTCTGTTTTGTCACAGCTATAAGACATGAACAAGCAGAGCGGCATGCCAAGAACGACTGTTGCGTGCTGCTCGCTGCTTGAGGTTGTGAAAGCAAGCTTTCTCATGTTGAGGTGACGGATACTCTGCTAGAAAGTGCTTCGTTTCGACACCGGTTGCAGTCTTCCGGGGTCCCAGCTGTCGGAGTCAGAGTCGTTGCCCACAGCAGACGGCCCTGAAGCCTTCTTGCCTGTCATGTGGCCCAGTGCTGGAGATGTTGAACAAAACTTGGACACGGGTCACATTGTGCATAATCCGCCGAGGCCACAGGCCCAGGCGTCTTGGGCGTTAGATCAAGTACCGTCCACCTAATCCTGCTCGCTTGCAGGTTGAAAGTCGACACCCGCCCGATTCTTTGCGTTCATTTTCCACACCCCCGTGTCGACGGGACGGAGGTGCACACACCCTATATACTCTTATAAAATGTGACCCTTTTATGTGTGATTTGACAACCCACATTCCCACTGTGACGACCACACATATTTGGGGCTGTCCCGCTTCTGCCTCCACACTGCTCTTTCACATTACAGAAGCAAGTCGATGAGTTCTGTCACAGTGCCTCTCCGGCAGGCCGAGGCGGGCGGCACAGCGTTAAAATTAGATGCAGTCTATGAGCCTCTTGGGCGCTCCTCCTGCTCCGTTGCCTCGCTGCTTGTGAGCTTCCTGCAGCCAGGGGATGCTGTGCCAACACGCAAGCTTCCAGTGTCGTTCGGCTGCGTCAAAAGTGAACCTACTTTCAGCTCCCGAGCTCATCCTCCAGCCCCGCACTGTCCTCAGGTTGTCGCGAGGAGCCCGCTTCTTGCCCACCCTGTCCAAAACCATCACAAACAAGTGCGAGAAGGTCAAAGGCAATTTGTTTGCAGGTCTCGTGCACATCCCCAGCATCTCTATGGCTACAGCGGAGAAGTAGAGCACTGCAAGTGGAGCATGAATTGTAACCGTTCTTTCGTTCTGGATTGTGCCTGCTGCTTTGAGGCGCACAGCGCGTGGCTACACCAATGTTGAGGCGCAAGCTCTACCACTTGCCCACCGCTTCGTACGAGAGCCTCCTTGGCGGCCAGGGGCCAGGCTTCGAGAGGCGCAAAGCGGAGGGTTTGGAGCGATCAAAGTGCGGCACCCACAAGTGCAAATAGGTGTTTGCCACATGGTCACACAAGTGACGTAACCCGGCTGAGTTTGCGTCCGCCTCTTCCTGCTTTGCTTGACGCTCAAGGTCGTCTCGCAGCTTCTGCTCGTACCTCTGTCAATCAGCATGCCATTCTGTTGCGATCTTGCTTTACCGGCCGTACAATCCTCACCCCGCCAGTTTCAGGTCGGGTCAATCCAAGCATACGACCAGACAACTGGATATACATCTCGACTCTATGCCGTCTGTGCATCTGACAAAAGCAGTGGTGCAGCAGCAGCTTGACAAAGGCGCACTCCATTTGCCTTCGCGCTTCCTGCTCTTGGCGCTGTTTCGCATGGAAGTCCGAACCTGCAGCATCGAGCATCCACCCAACAGATCCCCACAGAGGCAGAATACGGTGATGTTTGAAAGCTGACAACGCGTGCAGCTTCGAGGCCGCGACTGGACTCTTTCACGGAGAAGAACATTGGACCTAGCCTCACCACATCCAATCAACGAAATGGTGCAGATTCCATTTCTGGAGCTGGCCAAGCAAACTACGGCTCGCTTCCTCACCAGACGCTCTGCGGAGTTCACTGTGCAATCGAATCGACAGGCATGTGTTGGAATATGCACACGCATTCTTTTGACTGGAGCTAGACAGGGTTAGGATAAGTCACACACTCTGCAAGCCAGTAGGGATCCACTGCCGTCACTGTCTGCATGTACTCCTTGACTGTGTACATGACCTGGCTGGAGCGAAGGGTGTGCTGCCTCAAGAGAAGACACTCACACACACACACACACACACACACACACACACGTATGTGTCTGTGCTTGCTTGTTTGTACATGTCATCATATGTACATATGTAGGCATGTATGTGTGTATGTATGTGGATATGCATTTATCGGTAGGCAGATGTATATGGTCCATGGTACAGATTGGGAAATAAACAGATGAACAAAATGCTCTTGCATACCCATGTATGCTTAGTCTACATGTCGTACCCTTGTATAAATACATAGAATACATTTTATGGTACCGCGGGCCTGCCCTAAAGACCACGTTCCCTCCAGACCAGCCCCGAATCATCCAAATCATCCTTGAGTTGGGCCCATGGTCCAAGAACCAAGATTGCTCGGGGGTGTTGGATCCAGCGACGCAGAAATCATTCTTGATGAATACGGACGATCACGAGGCGTAGAAATATTGTGATGCCTCTACTGTACTTTCGCACTGGCCCACCTATTTGCGCAAGCATTGGCCTCATGATAGACGACATAATCTGGAGTGTAGCCCAGGCCATACCTTTCCCAAGAGCGGCATCACGCTGCCAGGCTCCCAGCACTGCCAAAACGGCCACAGCCACTAAGAACCGGGCAGCGAGCTTGTGGGGTGCAAGTTTGCCGGAATACGTGACCTTGTTACAACCAGTCAACAGGTCATGCTGCAGGACGAGTAGCGAACCAAAGCAGCGGCTTGCCACTCGCACGCTAGGACTTCCACCTCAGCAGTCATCTACGTGTTCTGGGCTGCCTGCCTGAGATTGACGTACTCGCCAATTCCTCGTAACCTGGGGTCCAAACGCGCCAACATGCGTCAAAGATCTGAAGCGGGGAGATCAGGGGAAGTTGCCCAGCAAAGGCCCTTGAAAGAAACGAAAGCGAGTGTCTTGCAGTCCACACCCGCATCTAACAAGCCTAGCTCGCAAGCAGCACACACATGCATGCGCGGGACTCAGCAGCATGTGCACTCTCTTTCCGTTTCTTTCCGACATGGACACTCCAAGGGACCCCCCTCTTCTGGGGGCTGTGCTTGCTGGCATTGTGGAAGTACCCTGCACAAATGGCTTTCCGAACAACGTCCCAGTCAGTGCCTCAGAATGCAGCAGAGTTCGGACGACTGTTGCCATCTCTACGATCAGTTCAAGACAAGTTAGCAGCATGGATCCTGCGCTATCTACAGCAGCTATTCGTTCAAGCTTCCTTTTCGCATGTTCTTCTGCAGGCAGGTGTATAGAAAGAACGGGCAAAGCATGTTCGTCATCAGTTTCTAGACGTGGCCAATGAGCCCCTCTAGTGGAGGACACGTCGCAAGTGACGGAGCAATTCTCCGACATGCTAGCAGCAAACAAAAGACCCGTCTGGGCACACGACTCACATCACAGCCGATTAACTGGCACTTCTATGACATGAGGCTTCCCTCTTTCTCGGGACCCGTCCGATGGAATTCACCTGCAGTCTCTGCTGCTGCCTTAGTTCTGCGGGCAGCATTCAGCCCTCTAACTTGCTGACGGCAGATGAGTGCTGGCGTTCGGTTGAGCATGATTGTGTATCAGCGAGTAAGGGATTGAGTGCGGACGTCTGTGTCTGTGCACTTCAGGTTCGCAGAAGCTTCACGAGCCTCTTCCCCCAAGAACTGCCAGCTCCACTCAGCCCAGTTGCATGATCTCCTCGAGCTGCCCCCGCCTGAAACTGCGTAACAAGTCGCAGCTAACAGAACTCAGAACCAAACACTCATGAGTCTATGAGTCTTCGTGTGGGTTTTACATAACCACCGCTGGGTACAGGGCTTCACGAGATTCATGCATCAACGGGCAACTGCAGAAGCTGAGGCAGCGGCACTTCCCGCACTTTCTTCAGAGACTTCTGGTGCACGAAGTGGTCGCCGCACCATCTCGCACCTGGCTGCACTAACTCGCGCTCTGCAGCTAGGAGAGGTGCTTGCACTGCTCCCAAAGCCTCGGAATACGTTCCGATCAGCTCGGGGCGGCACTGTAACCGTTGTGGGCCCACTGCTGGTAAACGTTCAGGAAAGTCAAGTGGTCGCCTTACAAGCCGTCTCAGCTCACGCCTTTGTGTAGTGAGTTCCAAAACTTAGGTGTGATCATGGGCCATTGTGGGGGCCACACTCTCCGGCACGAAGAACTTCTCCCTGGCCGCATCGCTCTCATCGGCCCGATCCTGAAAAGCAGCCGCTAGTTGCACCGGTCATGGCACGCCTCAGCTCAAGAAAACTATGCTTGCCAGAGCTTGCCTTCGGTCGGAAGAAGATCGACGGCACGGAGAGCATGGACACCACAGTCATGATCTGCGCACCAGGTTACTGATTGTTGCTGCGTGGCCCGAACGACGAACGAAGGTCTCCGGCCTGTTCAACTCCTAAGGTCCATTCGCGAACTTTCGCGCAGCGATGCGCGTCTCGGGCTTCAAATTTTTGACTGGGCTGAACTTAGCGAACATTGACCTATCGTTTCGGCTCCTCAGAGTCTTAGAGGAGGCTTATGCTCCCGCGTGTGTGTTCAGCCCTGCGCAGCCAAGTCAACAGTATGTTTGTCCGAGAAAGTGTGGTTTGACGGGTGTGTCCGCCTCTTCGCTGCAGCCCAGCTCCTCGCCCACGATGAGCATCTTCGACAGCGGCGGATCCTGGTCTCAATCTCTTCTGAGAATGACGGAGTGCATCGTCGCAGGGAAGATCAGGGAAAGTCTGCGGCTTGAACGGTGTACCTGTGCCCTGCGGTGATGTCCGATTGAGTAAATAAGGCAAAGGCCAGCGGAAACTGCGCCATCTTGTTGCCCAGGGTAGTTATGTCCTCAATACACCACGGACAGAATCGGAACACTAGATTCACGTCACCAGCAGAAACAAAAAACGTTCCACGTACTGTGGCGAACTTCGCTTTCGAAATTCATCATCTGACCAACTGCAGACGCCAAGTCGATGACCCTGGCATCGCTAGCAGAGGGCCCGGCACCGAGGTTATCGAGTGCACCCAGCATCCAGAGCTGGAACAGCGAGTTCAGAATTGTGTCCTCGCCACAGAGATGGTGCACGGTACGTGCGGCTATCACGTGCAAACAAAGAGGTGGTTTGTGGGCTCTGGATTTCAGGGCTTCCAAACACAGAAACAGGAGAATTCCGCATCGAAAAGCCTCAGGCTTAGTTTCGGAAGGACATGAAGCCTGTGGCCTTCTTTCTTCTGTTTTGATTCCGTCTCCAGCTTGGTGATCTTTGTCTCAACCTCTTTCTGATAAGCCTCGGCCGCGGCGCCGTCGTACTCAGCACCAGAGGCTTCTGTATAGCCTACAGCAGCTTCATACCCATCTCAGCCTGAAGCTCGAGCGCCCTGCCGCTTTACTCGGCCATCGACGGCGGCCATATCGAAGAGGGAACACAGCCAGGAGTGCGTAAGGCACAGGTCGATGCAAAAAATGACTTGGGAACTGCGACATGAAGCAAAACGTGAAGGTGGACCGACCAAGAACCTATGTGCACATTCATCTTTAAGTCTTGCATGCCTTTGAGAATGACCCCGTGCTCCTGTGGCGGAGGGTCCATGAAGCCGAAGGCCAGCAGATCTTTAATCTTGGCTTCGGCAGAGAGAAACACTTAGACTCAGACTTCAGCTCTGTGGATTAAAGCTTCTGACACGTCAAGACCGTCAACATTTCAAAAAAGGAGAGAGACATGGCCGGTGAGAGATTTTTCTTCATAGGCCAACGCAAGAAGTGCACTCGTATTCATCCAGGTTGATGTGATGGGCATGCGTCTGTCTGTTTATGCGTCTTTGTTTCTGCAGGACGTAAGGGTCGTCCATGTGACCCTCAAGCCATCGGCCCGCCCAGCCCCCACGTTGTTTTCGTGAGCGGCTGGCTTTGGGGTCCATGCTGGCTGCTGCCAAGTACTACACGGTGTGCCCTATGTAGGCATCTCTAGGTCCTCTAGGTTCGCCTGCAGCAAGCCCCAACCTCGTACACTGTAACCCCCGCATCCCGGCCTCATCACCGGGCCCCTGTGGCTACCACTCCTCCCGATGCCCCCAAGCTGTGTCTCTCTCTCTCTCTCTCTGTCTCTGTCTGCTGTCTGTCTGTCTCTTGCTTGCTTGGTTGCTCGCTTGGGGTGTTGGTGCCTACGCCATCCTGGTTCGCAACGGTTACAGGGTTTAGCCATGCTCACGTTCCCACAAATGCGCCTGGAACTTTTTGAGCAGAGGCTCCACAACGGGGCCGGTTTCGCTTTCCCACACGGCGCCGGCAAAGAGCTTGCCAGGCTAAGGAGGCATCCGCTTTCTTCGGGGAGCTGGTGCCGCAGTGCTATTGTAAGTTTCTTTCTTTTTGTAAGTCACCACACAGAACCTCCAAGACGTTGCCAAATATGGTCGCAGAACACACTTTTGTGGGCCCTAGCGGCCGGGACATGCGCCCAGGCGATACAAAGGAGCGTCGGGACCCTAGAAAAGCTCCAGGATGCTCGAAGAAAGCCCGGCACCCGGCGTTGTGTGAAGTTGCGGAGCAACGAACTCAGCCGTACCGAGCAGTTTCAAGAACTTTGGGACCGTACTGGAATGCAGGCAAGCTGGTGTCGCCGACCCAGATGTGCGTGTGGTCTGGCGCCGGGAGGTGCGGGAGAGGGGAGTCCGGGCAGTCCGGCGGAGCGAATCCCTGCTGCGTTCCAAACATCTGTGTTGACGGATGTTGACGGCATTGAGCTGGATGTGCGCATGCGAAAGTACGTGGTGCTCAAGGTGCTGCAGCAAGAATGCGGTGCAACAGGGCCGACTAGTGAGGCATGTTGTCCTATTCACTCGCGCGCAGCTAGGGAGGAGGTGGGCCATTTTTCTCCCCCCAACCGGTGCCAGACCGAGCGCGAAAAGAGCCGCACTCTTTCGCTCTTTCCTGCTCTCACCCGTGAATAAATCCCTGAGTACTCCCCGCGATTGCGGAGCAGGCTCAGTCGGCTTTGTGCCGATCATGCACGGGGCACAACAGCGTGTTGGGCATAGTAGCAGGGTTGTCACCGTACTTTGAAAACCTGTCTTCAGGCTCTGGCCCCCATGGACTTCAGCAGCAGCACTACGTTGGCGAGGTTTGTGCCTGACAGCTGTTTTAGCTCCGCATGCGAGCTTGATCCCATTCGAAGGTGCCAAACCACTTGACTAAACTTCTATTCTAAATCTACCCCATGCCAAGTGCTGTGCGCTGGATTTCAGGGATGGTCATTTGCAGCATCTCGGAGACGAAGGCACTCTCTGTGTACAAACGCCAGCACCTTGACACACGCGCGAAAACACCAGAAATCATGGCCATTCAATCTCTGGCAGCGACTTGACTGGAACAATGACTAGAATGACTCGAATCTGGCTAGAAGCACGAGAGGCGACCTTGCTTTGCTTGCAGGCCTTCGGGAAATCTGAAGCTTGACCGGCAGGTTCCGTCGTGTGTGTGTGTGTGTGTGTGTGCGCGCCAAGCTACACAGCGCCTTTAAGGCCGGTACCGACACGATGACGACACTAACCACAACTTCAACGATAACAAGGACAGCAAGGCCATCAACCGCAACCGCAACAAGAACAAGAGCAACACCAATACTGCTCATCGCTACTGCTACTACTACTACTACTACTACTACTACTACTACTACGACTACGACTACGACGACGACGACGACTACTACTACTACTATTACTAAGATTCTACTACTTCCACAACTCCTACAGTACTACCACCGCCACCTACTACTACTACTACTACTACTACTACTACTACTACTACTACTACTACTACTGCTACTGCTACTACTACTGCTACTGCTACTGCTACTGCTGCTGCTAGTAATAGTACTAGTACTAGTACTAGTACTAGTACTAGTACTGGTACTGGTACTACTACTACTACTACTACTACTACTATTACTACTACTACTACGACTACGACTACGACTACGACTACGACTACGACTATGACTACGACTACGACTACGACTCCTACTACTACTACTACCACTACTCCTACGACTACTACTACTATTACTACTACTACTACTACTACTACTACTACTACTACTACTACGAGTACGACTACGACTACGACTACGACTACTACTGCTGCTGCTACACGACCAACAGCTAACGACAGACTACTAACTACTACCGACTATCTACTACCTGCTGCTGCTACTACTACTACTACTACTACCACTACTGCGACGGCGACGGCTACTGCGACTACGACGACGACCACTACCATCGCCACCACTACTACTACCACTAGGACAACAATAACTACTACTAACATTATTTTGGGTACCATTTGTACTTTTTGTAAGACGTACTAATTGTACTACTTGTACAAAGACGACAACTACACTCCTGCGTTACTGTTATGACTGAATCAACTACTCTACTAGTACTGCTTCCGCACCTTCTGCTGCGAGGACAACAATCCTAGAAAGCAATGTTTCCACAACAGTACTACTACGGCTACGACGGCTGACTGCTGACGTCAATGACACATGTGGACCACGAGACGATGTCGTCCTGGAGGGTCTTCTTTAAAAGAGCAGAAGGCTGGGGCCCTGGCATTCCAGGACCGGTCCGTCCTGCGCGTCCCCGGCGTTGGTTGGCCTGCAGCACGTCCCGAGTCTTTTGATGCCATGCTTCAGAGCCGCTCTCTGCTTGAAACCCTTATCGGGGGTCCGGTAGACTGAGGCAGTGACATTTGCTTGCGAGATGGGTGTTACCTGCAAGCTGTCCATACCTGGCTAGTTCATTTTTTCAACAAGCTATTCGACTACTACCATTTGATAAACGTCCGCTATATCTTCACACGAAATTTGCAGTTCTATGGGCTCTGCACATCCTCCAAGCTGAAACGCAAGCTGAGCATGGTGCCCATCTTAGGGTTGTAGATCTTCAGCTTGCAGTAGCCTGAAACAATGTACACTGCAAGACACAGAGATTCGCATGCAGCAAGCACCTCCGATGTGACTCAACGGCTCGCACGAGCAGATGCTGTGCGAGCAGATGTTATGTCTCACGGCCCTGCAGCTTAAACGCTGCCTGGCAGCTGTCCACCGAAACGTGAGTTTCCCACACCTTCGGTGATCAACTCCTAGCTAGGTCAAGGTGTCCCAAAATATCCAGCTCGAGATTCTGTATCAAGGCCACAAGCAAGTGGACACCAACAACCCTCCTTGAGAAAGTATTAAAAGAACGGAGTGCATTGAGCATTATTGAACAAGCAAGAAGTGCCGGAACTAGATCCTGCCAGCTGGTGTCGGCAAGTCTGCCCTCCTTGCTGATTAAACAGAAACCTTAACGTGGCCCGGCCACGCGACAAATGTGCCGTGCAAAGCACAGCACACCATGTGACAACAAGACTCACGCTACAGTAGGCGAAGAGCTGCTGTTGAGCTCTCACCTCTACGACGCTACGACGCTGTGCCCTCAGCTGCGCTTTTCGAAGGCTGCCAACCGGGCCTCCATCTCTTTGAGATCAGGATCTGCCTTGATTTCCTTGTTGCTGTAGCCGAATTCCGTGCGCAGTTTGGCCTTGTACACCTCAATGTCGCCTTGAAGCTGCGCGTACTCCTTCTGTTCTTCGGCGCTAAGCGGGGTCTTCTTCTTGGCATCCTTCTTGGCGTCCTTGTCCTTCTTGGAGCTACCTGGATCCTGCTTTTCCTTCAGCTCGTTCAGGCGTGCCACCATGCCTACTATCTTCTCGTTCTTGTTGATCTGGCCACCGCTCATGCCCTGCTCTTTCAGGATGGCCTTCTCCTCGAAAAGCAGGTCAACATGTGACCACACCACAATCATTCGACACTAGCCTCGCACACAAGCCACTGATGCCTTATTCAACATTCCAAAGACATGCACATGACATGCCACCCCCGTCCTCGATGATCTTCTGCTTCAAGTCATCGAGCTCCTTGAGCTCATCGGGGCTGAGGCCTGCGCTCTCCTTCTCTTTCTTCTCCTTCTTGTTGTCCTTGCGGGTCTTCTGCTCGGGGGCCTCCTGCACGGTCTCCGGCTTCTCGATCTGCGGAAGCACGGCGGCCTTCGTGACGAAGTGGCCGAACCTCTGCTCTTATGTCTCTTTTTCGTGATAGCTTTTCGAAACCTAAGGAATACTTCTTAAGTGATTGAAAACTGATCTTTCCTTGGTTCAACTGGATCGGAAAGAGCGATGTGGGCCGGAGATATAGTGATCTATAGCCCGCAATGTCATGATATTCAGCATAGTGATCTGGAGCAAGCGGAATATTGATTTGCGGCACGCAGAACAGTGATTTGCAGTCGGGACCGGAAACATTGATTTTGTAAAGAAGCACTGACCGCACCAGGGCTACCAGGTCTTGCGCCTAACAAACTTAGACCTACCCCTTTAACGATCATCTCGGGCAAACCTCACTATTTCTGGGCGCAGGGAATGCAATTTACAGGACACCCGAGCATTGTTTGTACGCGTACGGATTGCGGTTTGAGCTGCATCACCCGCTGTTTGCCGCCTGCGGAGCACTACTTTCAGAGCAATCAATGGCTGGCTCCATTCTCATTCATGTAGCATTCTCAACATCCAGCCCAACGCTTGCCCGACCCCGGCGACACAACTCTGATCTTTCGCGGTAGACAGATCTCATAGGTTTCTGACAGACAGACTGTAAGTGTCACAAGCAAGAAACATCTACAACAGAAGGGCCAAATACAGAATGGTCTGAATAGTCAAGGAGCTTTGGCTCAAGCCCCTTGACAATCTTGCAGGCATCCACATACTTGTGTTCGTTCTTCAGCTCGGCAATTTCCTTTCCCTTGGCTGAGCGCTCCTTCTTATTGTCTTTGCCAGTCAGCTGGTTTGATTCCGTCTCCAACTTGGCGATCCTTGTCTCAACCTCTTTCTGATAAGCCTCGGCCGCGGCGCTGTCGTACTCAGCACCAGAGGCCTCAGTGGCCTTCAACAACTTCATGCCGATTTCTGCCTGCAATTCGAGCGCCCCACCCTTGACTCGGCCATCGACGGCGGCCATATCGAAGAAGGAGCACGGCCGAGAGGGCGTAAGCACAGGTCGATGCAAAAAAAAGCTTGCGAAGTGCAGCATGGAGCAAGCCCAGAAAAGGCATCTTTATCGATGGCTGACAAAAAAAGTTCTGTGCGCAAAATCAGTTCGTCATGCCATTGCATGCTTGCCCGTTCCCCGGCCCCGCCTGTATCGATCACATACTTAATGCCGTCCACCGTGAGAGAAGTCTCTGCGATGTTTGTGGCCTTACAGAGACTGCAAGGCCTACCATTGCGGCTCAGCATGGCTCGGCATTAGGCAAAGCTCTGCTAGCAACTGTTGCAAGCAAGAGACCACAATCATCTTTCGTTTGTCGCTGCTCTCGAAAATCTTGGCCTGCACACACACACACACACACACACTCCGCATCGTTGGGCCAGGAGATGCTTCAATGCTCGATGCATCGCAGGCATGCCCCTTTCTGGGAAAAACGCGAGTTCTGCAGAGAGTGTCCCCCAGCTTGACGAGGGAGAGTGGGTGAAAGCAAAAGCCATGGGCCATGAAGAATGGCATACCAACGGCCTGGATTACGCTACGCCGCTACGCACTTGCAAACTTGTTCAATTCCCATCCATGGGGGAGAACTCTGGACAGACCATATGAACGGCGGCCTGCAAGTCCGAGGGAAGCTGCGAGTAGATGGGCAAAATTGACACGGGCGGCACATTCTCACCAACCTGGCCGCAGGTCGCTTGAACGAAACATGGCATCAAAGTGCAGGATGCCAGGAGAATTGAACGATTAATGAGCCTGTGAGATGCGGTCAGCTAGCAAAACGCACGTGGCCTGACCAGGTGCTTCATTTACTGAGTAACTTGACCGTTGAACTGTACAAGCTCCACCTCAATGTCCTCTTGCCCAGTCATGAAGATCAGGACCTTGGAAATATACTACGGCCGTGATGACAGGGGCGGACCCGCGGACCCTGGCCAAGCTTGCTGGGGATCCGGCATCTCCCTGATCCTGACCTGGGGACGCGCTGCTGCATGCAGGCTGTAACGAGCTGCTACAAGAGAGATGCGGGAGAGCTGGAACGAAATGTCTCTGGTTTGCGTGCCATCATGTTTTACACATTGGCACTCTCGACATGCACCCCTTGTTCCTCTGCATTCCAACCACGATTCGACGGCTGAGCTCGTGAGCCAACATGGATTGCGATCGCCTGCTGCACTGCGGCATCGACATAGTCCTGTCCAGGTCTCGAGTCTCGATGCCCTGCTACAACGGCTCCAAAGCCGCTCCAATCGACCTACTTCCACGACTCTGCACAGCCCGCCTGAGCTGTACTTCTCGCATAGAAGGTATCCACCTAAGCAGCCGTGACGCCCTCGTCTCCTGCTCGATTCACAGCGATTCGCAGCCGTGACCGGGAGACGCACGGGAAACGTTCGACCTGCAGGGCACATCCCTCGTTCCAAGACCCGACGGCACGCACCAACCCTAACTCCGAAGCCCTAGCATAGATACCTACATACCAGTACTTGGCGTGGTGGATCACACCGATAAGGAGTGGGTCAGAATGCCAATCAGCACCAATTGAAACATTGCTGTGCATGGAACACAACCGGCGCGACTCGAGTTCTGGTCGCCATTATGCCAACCCTTTCGGTACACCCGGCAAGTCCATGTCCAATCGAAATTGGCATCCCGTAGAAGATGTCAACATGAAATCTCTTCCACTTCCACCACAGCGTTTTGGGAGCTTGCAGTCGATTCTGCAAAGGTCCGCTATACCTGCTACTTCGAGCTGCATGGCCTAAAGTCGTGAAGGCACCCTGGCCAAGGTAACAACAGTGAATTCCACATGTCTTGCATCGCAGACACCGTGAGCTCCACTGGTGATGTGATCTTTCAGGACCGCAACTCACTTGAATTCTTGTCGCCCCCGTGATCGAACACTTCGTGGGAATCTTGTCCTGTTCGTTGATGTTCATGGCCGACCGACCTTCGCATCTTTGTCTCCATTTGCCCTTGCTAGCTTGCTTGCGTGCTCTGGAAAATCCTCGTACTCGACATGGATGATACGGGCATTGGAAGCTCGCGACAGGCTCGGTCTGGAAACGTGCTGATGAAGCAAAACACCGAGAACTCGTTTCCAATAGTCCATGCTACTAGTAACAGTGTCCTCCTTGCATCATACTTGCTGTGTTCACGCCGCGTGCATTACCGCATCATCACCGAACTCGCTTTTTCAGGGAGGTTATGGCGATTGTCCGAAAGTACGACGTCGCTGCATGAAATACTAGACGTGCTGCTGCTGAGCACGACTGCATATAGACGTGGTTCTTCTCAGCACCAAAGCTCGTTTTGTGTGAGTCGTTGGCCGGCCTGGGATGTTGAAGACTGGCACGTTGCCGAAAAACCTCGGCTGTTAATGAATCCTCTAATCATGAATAGTTCCAGAACAGTGCTGAAGTGACATGTTGCTGTCGCGCCAAGTCACGCGGCGAATTTGTCTGCATCCATGGTGGCTGAGGTGATGATCAGCTTGAAGTCATGCCGGCGGCCCACTACAGTCCGCAGGATCTCAGCACGATGCTGCCACTGGCACATAGGCGAAGGATCTCGCACTCGGTAGGTGTAACCGTCAGAGCAAACATCGCTTGCAAATTACAACCCTTTCTAGCCCTCCTCATCGCAATCGACTCATAAGCTCCCAGCTCCGAACAAGACGTCTGTGTTGAGCGAGCGCTCGTGCGCTTCGTCCATGATGACCGCCTGACTTCTTTGATGCGGCTCCCAGCCGTCCGTCCTATAGTTAGGCAACTCACCACTGACGGATCAGTTTCGGCACGTGCTGTATCGAGGCCCGTCCCAGAGCTTGCATGGGTCTTCCACAAGCGAAACAAGCAGCCAGATTTGGAAAGCTGAGGCCCTCACGCAATATCTGTCTAAGTCCGGCTCAAACAAGGTTTCTCGCAGAAGCACGCCATCGGTCATGTACCTGGAAACGGGCGGAGCGCAAGACTCAACCAAGCAGCACACAGGTGCTACTGCAATTTCCCATGCCCATTCACGTCAGGTTTTACAAAATCGACAAGTGACTTGATGATGGTCGACTCGCTGGTGCAGTCCTGCACAGGTAATAATCTTCAAGACATGCGATGCAAGTAACATGGCGAAGGTGAAAATCGAGGGAGAGGCCTCGAACCGAATGGAGTAGCCCACCTGCATGCTTAGAGTGCAAGCAGACAGCAAAAGAGCTAGGTCGGATTGCAGACCGCGGCGCTCATTGTAAGCCTGGTTGATTGGGCTGACAGACGATCTAGGTTGGCCGCACCAGGTCTTCACGTGATAGGTGAGGGGCAATATTCGCTAACGCGACAGAGGTCTCTGCCTTGATAGTATCGGTTTTGGCTGTTCAGTATACCGCTTTACATACCAAACGAACATCAACGGCATAAGCATCACGAAGCAAGTAGCTGATCTCATGTTTCGATAACTCACTCGAAGAAGCCTTCATGTGCGCAAGCCCACGAAGTGAGCTTATCGTTTTGAGGGTTCAGCATATCTTTTTACATGTCATACGGCATACCCCTTACATACATACATCTGATCTTGTCTTCTTACAATCCGGCATTGAATTCTAATGCCACATGATTTCCGAAGACCTCCCGAAGACTATTTCGTGATGCGGAGTATTCGGCTCTTTCTGATATCCAAAACCAGTCAATCAACCTTACTCTGCATGGCTTGTGCCTTTGTGCCCAGTTCACAGCCCATCTCGTCGGCGACGCGCTTCGCCACGGACCTGTTGGGGCCCGATTCCCGCGATCCTGACAGCAACGACACGCAAACCGCACAAGACTGGGCTCCCGGCACAGCTGCAACACGGCGAGGCTGTGTGCATCCGATCTGGCCGTTCACCGAGTAACCGGCTTCGTGCAGGTACCTCACACACCCCGCATGAAACTCACTGCAAGGGCTAGGCCCGCCGGAAAGCTGCGATTGCACGACGTCTCCAAGAACTGCTGTCAAGTGCAAGTCGGAGCATGGGAGCAAGGCTTTTTTCTTTCTCGCATGGCTGGGATCTGGTCTATCTGAGGGAGCAAGGGTGAAAGAATGAACGTTTTGGTGAATATATCACTTTGTGCAATGAAACATATTGAAACATACCGATTACCACTCTGCTGACACACCCATGCGAGCTGCTAGCTGAGATTGAAGCCATTGTAATACTCCTGCTGTACTGACGACCTACAATGGCCTACATACACAAAACTGTCAGGTGTTCACCTGTCTGAGGTTGCCGGAGGTAGGTTACACCCAGCCTCTTGCCCCAGGAGGCCGGTAAGTGATTGTCACATCCGCGCCAGTCCATGGCGACACGGAAGACACAGCTGAAACGCACATTTGTGACATGACGCCATGAAATCAAGGCATCGTCGCACTTGCTGGGTTGCACGGACTGTGAAAATCGGGTGTTGGAGTTAAAGGTTCGGAACATTTACGGTTTACAGCTTGCCGCTGCTGCGCCTGCATGCAGGCATATTCCAACTTTGGGAGCTCCTCGTCGGTGCTGGGTATACTCGACTTGGAAAGAGGAATCGACAATCATACTTCGGTCTCGTCAAGGACAGTAGCACTTTGAACGCGGACCCTCCTTGCCAAGCCGGCCACCATGCCCGACGCAGCTCCGCCGATGCCGGAAGTAGCTTACTCTGGTACAGTGACACAGACACCAAAAAAAAGGAACAACAGCGTCATCCTCCTACCGCAATCTACTGCCCAGACGATTTCAGGACCTACATGCACAAAATCTCTACCTTGGCACGGAACTTTTTGTGCGACTGTGTCTCCTTGACCGACATGCTCTCGACGCACAAACACAGCGGAGCCCTCTCCACCATGAGGTGTCTTCACCTGTCTCTACATGTGCACAACTTTGCGCAGGTTGCCGGAGGTAGGTTGCACTCACGGTTCTGGAACTGCGCCTGACAAAGCCACTGATCTGAGGCGTAGAATACAACAGGGTAGTGAGTATAGTGGCTTCGTGTTGCCATGATACAAAGACTACTCCGCAAAAGGCATTAAAACATGTTGCATAGCTCTTCGAAATTCTTCGAGCCTGCCGCTGCAAGACTGCAATCTGCCTAGAAACTTGTGACATGTCACGGGCTCGTATGCTGGTTTGGACGGGCCGAGATTTACTTCGACAGGCTCGACGGCAGCTGGAGCGCTGCCAGAAACGTCAGAACCTTGTGGGCCAGACGCCAGATACTCTGCGCGTACCAGTACATGTTAAAACTGCTGGGAGAGATCCCTGGCCAACGTCTCCAAGAGATGCTCATGCTACCATGTTGCTATGTCTTCGAGCAACATTCACAAGATTGGGCGCTCGGCAAATCTCTCCTTCAACTCGCATAAGGCGCCTTTCTCAATAGTCCTTAGCCTTAGCCGCCATCCAGCGGCGTGCCAGGAAGGAGTCCAATCCAGGCCTGCTGCTCCGGGGCGTGCTCGATGTGCTTGCCTACAGGAGAACCCGGTCTTCTCGGTATCCTTCGGGGTTCCAGCACACACGTCGCGTGGGACGAGAGCTCAGCACCTGCGTCTTCCGAAGATGCTATGGAGAGTCTGCGCTCGGTAACGGGCTCAAGCACGGGCTCGGGAGCCTGTTCCTTCTTCTCGAGCCACTTGTCCTCGATGTTCTTCCGGATGCGTCGGCTTTGCAAGGCGCACGTTGCCAGGGTGCCGAGAACAAGCGCCACAGCAGCGGGAAGTAGCACCAAGTCCTGGAGCAGGCTGACCGCCGTGGCCACGATCCAGTCGTGAGCATCCTGCAGACGCATGTTGGCCAAAAAGAGCATCACGTAGCAAATGGTGGCGATCGTGTAGGTCAGCCAGAGCAACCAGAAGCAGGCTCGTCGACAGCGCCAGATGCTCCGCTGCCATGCCTTGTTCTCATCGGTCCACTCCTTCTCCACGACCTTCCGCGCCTGCACGAGGAAGAGGCTGAAGATGATACAGTCGCCGAGGAAAGCAGATAGGAAGCCCACCACGGAGTTTCTCGTTAACGTCTGCAGGAAATCCCTTTCTGCCTGCAAGCAGGATCGTCGTCGGGCCCTGGTGTAGTTCCGGTGAAGAAAAGGGCGTTCGTGGCGCCAGCCGTGCACAGCTTCAAGAAGATTAGAGCGGCGCGGACCTTGTGTGGCGTGACGATGCTGTAGCGCATCAGCGCCATCCAGGGATGGAAAGCCGGGAACAGCAGACAAATGCGAACGCACCACTGCCGTTTCAGGATGGACTGGACAGCACCGGCGCCGTGTAAATGTACGTTCCACCGTGCGCTGAGGTTACGTGCCGCGGCTGCGAACTCGCCCAGATTCCTGCCCATTGAATGCACAACGGCAGAGAAACGGCTCCGCCGTGCATTGCTCCGGGAAACCTGGACCGGGCGCTCCTCGGAGTCCTCCTGCAGGTGAAACTTGTCCCCGTCGTTCACCAAAATCTCTAGACTGTCCGCAGCCACACCGCTGCGATGAGCATGCAGAGACCTGATGCAACGATTAACGCTAGCTTCCGGGGCGTTGGGGATCATTTCCGTGACGACGGTGAGAATGTTCTCCACACCGAAGCAGATGCCTGCGCACCAGCAACACCACTCCTTCACTGCTGTGGCACCGCTGCAGCAGGCAGCCCTGGCGCGGCCACGTCTCCGAGACACCTCCTCGTACGTGTCCGTGTCCTCGGGAGTGTCATCCAAAACCTTGTCGCGCAACAGGACCGCCTCGACTTCTTCCCGAGGGACCATGCGCTCCGCTTGGCGATCGACATAAGCAGCTCGAGACTGGACTAGAAGGAAAAGGCCAATGACAACGAATGCCGAGATGGCTGGCGAAGAAGTCATCCACTGCCTGGCTGGTGCGATGAGCTTGTGAAAGCCTTTCTCTGACATGAGCACCCAAGCAGAACTGCATAACAGTACGGAAACGGCCGTGTCCCAAATGGTATGAAACACCGCTGCAAAGATGGAGAGATGCATCGTAAGGCACTTGATCTCACCAGGCGTGTCGTGCGGAACCTTTTCAAGGCCTTCCTCAGACCATCTGCTCTCCGCCTCGTCCCAGTATGCGCAGCTGGCATTGGGGTTTGCCTTCAGGACGAATTCCAAGGGCGTTCGCAATTGACCCAACTCCAAGGCGGTGCCGTCGGGAGAGCGGAGATTGATGCTCAGCGGCTGGGACTGTAGCGAAGCTGTGAGCTGACCTTCGTTGCGTGCGTCCACGAAGCTGTTGGCCGTTTCCTCGGACATGCTGGTCAGGCTCAGGAGCACAGGCCCGGAGACACCTGCTTCCTGGGACAATTCGGCAGCTTGGAAGAGGAGGTCCGCAGGCACCTCCACCTTGGCCCCGGTGTCTCCCGCTGGGATGACCACGCTGTCACCTGATGCCTCCACTGCTTCCGGCGACAGTGCCGCCACCTTTAATGTCCCCGTTTCAGTCTTCGTGGACACCTGTCCCAGCACTCCGCCTGTCTCGGTAGCGTTCGTGGACGTGTTGAAGTCGAGCACAAGCAGTAGCAGTTCTTGCACGCTCTCCTCCTCTGCAGCATCCACCATGGCAACGGCCTGCGCTGCCTCCTCCTTCCTTTCTTGCTCTTGCTTCGCCCTCAGTGCTTCTTCAGGGCTGCCCGGCGTGGTCGTGGTGCTGCTTGCAGAAGTGGTCGTGGAAGTGACGGAAGTGGAGGTGGTGTAAGTTATGCTAGAGCTAGTGTCCGTACTCGTTTTTGTGCTGCTGGTGGACGCAGAGGAACTCGTGCTGGTTGCAGAGCTGCTGCTTGCGGAGCTGCTGGTCGTACTCGAGCTGGTCGACGAGCTGCTCATCGTTGAACTGCTTGTCGCGGACCTGCTGCTTGTAGTACTACCAGTCGTGGACTTGCTGCTTGTGGAACTGCTGGTCACGGAATTGCTGGTTGTAGAACTGCTGGCTGTGGAGCTGGTGCTGGTAGAACTGCCTGTCACCGAGCTGCTGATTGAGAAGCTGCTCGTGCTCGTCGTCGATGCTGTCGTGCTGGTAGTTGAAGCTGTCACCGTACTGCTGCTGGAGGCGGTTTCGGTTCTGCTGCAGCTCGTCGAGCTGGTGCCGGTCGTCGAAGCGCTGCTCGAGCTGCTGACGGTGGAACTTCCGGTCGTCGAGCTACTTGTGCTGCTGCCGCTAGTCGTGGAGGTGCGTGTTTTCGTGACGGAGCTGCTGGTTGTCGAGCTCTCAGTTGAGGCGCTGGTGCTGCTGGTGCTGGTGATGCTGCTTGTGGAACTCTTGGTGTTGGTGCTGCTACTGGAGGTGGTTTGGGTCATGGAGGAGGTGGATGTGCTAGTGCTGCTGGTGGAGGTTGTCTGGGTGAGGGAGACGGTGGATGTGCTGGTGAAGCTACTGGACCTTGTTTGGGTCACGGAGGCGGTGGACGTGCTGGTGCTGCTCCTGGTCCGCGATGTCGTTGCAGACGCGCTGGATGTCGATGTCGACGTTGCAGTTCTGCTGGTCGTGATCGTGACGGTAGCAGACGCGCTGGATGTCGATGTCGACGTTGCAGTGCTGCTGGTCGTCATCGTGACGGTAGGCTCTGCGGCGGAGGAGGTGCCAAGATCCAGTTTCCAGAGCTTCAATCCTGCTGACCCGGCCCACGTAAAGATGCGGTTGCCAGTTGAATCGAAGACGGCGCAATGCTGTTGCTGGCTTCCGGGGTCGTTGCTGGATGGGGTCACGTCTGTCCAGGCATTCGAGGAGATATCGTACTCCTGCACATCCTCCACCGCATAATTGGTGCCAACTGGCCAGCGATGTCCACCCATGACGACGATCTTATTCGACCCGATGAAGTTGGCGGTGTGATAGTAGCGGCTGCTTATGGCATTCGTCGCCGACAAGCTTATCCAAGTGTTGCTGGACACGGCAAAACTCAAGAGCTGATCAGAAGGCTGGTTGCTGCCGTCTTGCCCCCCGTGCACGTAGAGCATCGTGTTCGCTTGGTCGTATGCCGACGCCGGCCAAGCGACGGCTGTCGGAGAAGATCCCGAGACGGAGCGCGTCGACCAGGAGTTCGAACTTCGAGTCCACACCATGATGTCGTTCAGTCGGCCGCCTGAGCCGTAGCCACCGAAGGTGATCATGAAGGAGCTGCCGGAATCCCATTGCGCAGTGTGTGCAGCACGCGCCGACCCGCTACTGGCTTTTGCTGTCCAGCTGTCGGAGGAAGGTTTGTACATGAACAGCTCGTCGTAGAAAGTATTCACATCACCGGCGTCCATCAGTCCAGCATAGACATACATCTCCTGGTTGGTGGGGTCCCACACGGCACTGGCGCGATACTTGTCTCTGTTGCCGTCCGCCAGCGAGGACCATGCGTTGCTCGAGGGATCGAACTTGAAGAGCTCACTGGTCCACTGGCCGCCGTGCACCACGTACATCACATTGTCCTGGTCGTTCCAAGCACAGGACGGGAAATGCTGCCCAGTCGGCGCTGTGCCACTCACTGAGATCTCACTCCACGACATTTGCGCTGTCGGGGTGTCACTGGCAGCAGCCAGGCCACTGACATCCAGTTTCCAGAGCTTCAATCCTGCTGACCCGGCCCACGTAAAGATGCGGTTGCCAGCTGAATCGAAGACGGCGCAATGCTGTTGCTGGCTTCCGGGGTCGTTGCTGGATGGGGTCACGTCTGTCCAGGCATTCGAGGAGATATCGTACTCCTGCACATCCTCCACCGCGTAATTGGTGCCAACTGGCCAGCGATGTCCACCCATGACGACGATCTTATTCGACCCGATGAAGTTGGCGGTGTGATAGTAGCGGCTGCTTATGGCATTCGTCGCCGACAAGCTTATCCAAGTGTTGCTGGACACGGCAAAACTCAAGAGCTGATCAGAAGGCTGGTTGCTGCCGTCTTGCCCCCCGTGCACGTAGAGCATCGTGTTCGCTTGGTCGTATGCCGACGCCGGCCAAGCGACGGCTGTGGGAGAAGATCCCGAGACGGAGCGCGTCGACCAGGAGTTCGAACTTCGAGTCCACACCATGACGTCGTTCAGTCGGCCGCCTGAGCCGTAGCCACCGAAGGTGATCATGAAGGAGCTGTCGGAATCCCATTGCGCAGTGTGTGCAGCACGCGCCGACCCGCTACTCGCTTTTGCTGTCCAGCTGTCGGAGGAAGGTTTGTACATGAACAGCTCGTCGTAGAAAGTATTCACATCACCGGCGTCCATCAGTCCAGCATAGACATACATCTCCTGGTTGGTGGGGTCCCACACGGCACTGGCGCGATACTTGTCTCTGTTGCCGTCCGCCAGCGAGGACCATGCGTTGCTCGAGGGATCGAACTTGAAGAGCTCACTGGTCCACTGGCCGCCGTGCACCACGTACATCACATTGTCCTGGTCGTTCCAAGCACAGGACGGGAAATGCTGCCCAGTCGGCGCTGTGCCACTCACTGAGATCTCACTCCATGTGGTCGTGCCAGCACATGTGTGCAGAAGGAAGCAAAGGCAGCAAAGGGCGAGCTTCATGTGCGGGGTGCAAAAAACTGACAGCAACTTTGCTCAGAGCCGTAGTTGGAGCCAAAATGGGATCAAAGCTATAAGCTTGGACTAAGTTGGACTTAGCATGAATCTCAAGCATCAGGTGCTGAGTGAGCTGTGTCGTCTTTCCCGATCCAGTCTCGCCGACGCAAATCAGGACCTGCAGGGACATGGGAGACGGCTTCACGACTGTCGCAGCAACCATGTCAGGAGCCAAGTGACGTTGTGCTCACGCAGAAGGTCGATGAGCTCTTCCCGCACCTTGAAAACCTGAGCCCAAGCCCAGATAGTCATTGCCGAACTCACGACGAAGGCTCAGGCATTGCACAACGGGGCAGAGCCATATCGGCACTCGGTTGACTCACCGTGCTTGGCCACCAGCAGGAAGGCTTTGCCTCTGTTGCTGGATCGACCGCGTCTTCGCGAACTCCGACTGGGCCTCAGATCTTCTAGTGTAGATGACTGTTTGTGCACAAGTTTAAACTTAAGTCTTAAGGTTAAGCTTTGTCTCGGGACTGTTTTGTCTGTGCTGGCAAGAAGCCGATAAAACAGCAACTGTCGGTCCTGCTAATGCGACCACGCATCCTCTGTCTTCTGGTTCTTCAAGGCTTGGCCGTACTGGTTGCTGGCCTGAGCTGACAAGCAAGGCAATGGACGGGTTGTACAGCTGGCTTTGGTTTCGGAAGGTATATTCCAGAAATTCCTCTTCGCCTGAGGCAGCGAGGGGAGAGGTCATTATTGGGCTCACGCAGCAGAAATCGAAAAGAGTTGGAAAAAAGTGCCTACCTGAAGAATCGGGAGTGAGACGGCATTACGGCAGCTTCACGAAAGAATACATGCAGTTACTTCGCTTGACTGCTGCCGGACTCTATCCTGCGGCACGACATGATGTAGCGTGCTTTCTGAGGTTTGCTCTGCCATGTCCAGCATTGTTCCCAGCCTTGTGGTCAAATTCATCGTCTGAAACGTCGTCGTCCTGCTTGTCGGTGTCCGTCTTCCTTATGGGGACAGCTGCCGCCATTAAAGTCAAGAAGCGCCGTTGTGGGCGCGACGGACAAGCAAACTCATCCGTGAATCAACGGCGACACGGAAACCTTATTGCAGCAGAGCTGAACCATGCCCTAATCTGCTGAGCCACTTCTTGACGCCCATCACGTTGCCCATGTTGGAGCCTGTGGCAGCAAAGGGCTCTTATACGGATACATGGTGCTTCATGGAATGGAACCCACCAACTTCCCGAACCTACGGCAACCGAGGACACCCGAGCAGCCCATGCCCAAAACCCTTTGGCGGCTCTGAGCCCCAGCCCCGGCTTCCCACCAGCCTGCAAGTTCCCAGAAACGTTGCCGGAACCTCTGTCGGCATCGTTGGGACATGCTAACAGCCTGCCCACCTACAAGTAGCATGCATTCAACCGGAGGCTTAGCATTGTGCAGAAACCAAGTCTAAGAAATGCAGAGCTCTTGGCTTGCTCTGGTCTTGTTCCTCACGCACTTGTCTGACCTCTGTCGATCCAAAGGTGCATGAGAGAGCTCGTCGAGTTCGGCGCTCTGGGAACAAGAGCCGACGGCAGATCCAAACACTGAGGGCGAGCACCACCTTCGAGCCCTGCTTGCAGAAGACAGCCATGTCGGACGTCGGATCTTTGACGGCACTCCTGACGCATGCAGACGTTTATGCCTCTGGTGTCAACATGTGTCAATCTGGGATGAATGCGCATTTGCCTACTGAGGCCTCGGCACTGCCTCTGTCTGTGTGGTGAAGACCTTTCGGCCGTCCAGGAACGGTGGCGTCGTATCCCGGACCTGATTTTCCCTATCGTCTGATCGTCGCCGCCCAAACGTTGAACTGGCTGCTGAAGGCCAGAATGGCCGCGTCAGCTTCGAGATGGCTGAGGCTGGCACAACAACGGCAACACCTCACGTGCATTGCATTCTCTGGGAATGGGCCACACAAGCCAATGCTGCAGCTCACGCCGGCATGAGCTTTGGAATGCTGCGGAACGACTGAGACCACAGGCGCTTCTCTTCGTCCTCTTTCGAGAAGTCCAAGTTTACCTCCTTCCGCTCCGCCAAGCCCATGGCCCCGAGCCTCGGCTGCGGGAAGCGCAAAAGGACAAGGCCAAGGCCTTCCAAGGGTTTCTCATCTCTGCGGGCCGGGCCTGTTAAGCTCCCAAAGCTCGTTCGCCTCATTCTTCTGCTGCTGCCGGATATTCACCCGGGCGACCTTGGAGGGTGACTTGCAAAGCTGCCTCGCCGGGCTTCGCTACGTGTGAGCCGAACACCGAAGCCAATTGGCGCTTCTTTTTCTCTTCCTTCTCGGCCTTCAAGATTTGACATCAGACTTCACGACAACAAATACTTCTGCTGCCAAGCCGAATGTCATCCGTCCATGCCTTATGCGGCAAAGCCAAGCATCCTGGCCTCCTGCACTGGGTCCATTGCGTCCATGCCCTGAGCCGCCCCACCTTCTTCCGCCTGGCGCTCAGTGCAGCATATTGTGCTGACGATATCGGGATGACTGCAGCACGTCCCTACGAAATTCGGCGATTTCTTCGTACTCTCACTTTCTCACAACATGTAGGTGCAGCTAGGCGAGACCCTCGGAGTTCCTTGTACTGATCGCCCCATGTTCCAGACCCAGCTTGACTCATCATGTCGAATCTGAACCACGCTTCAAGCCAAAACGTGTTGCTAGCAATGTCGGGTCTCGGCGCTCATTCTCGGACATGGCGAGGTTCTTGGTTCTTATAGTCGGTTGGAGTTTGCTAAACGACGTAGTCCGAGCCTAAGGGCCTAGTGCAAGGACCTAGGATGACCTAGGCAAGAAATCAGCCGTCTGAAACGTCTGAGAATCGGGCCATGTACCAGTCACGGTCCAGTTTGCCTTCGGGTCATATGTCGCAAGTCGACATGCTGTGGTATCGCCGATGTGAGACATCTATCGGGGGTCTGTCGGGATACGAGACCTCACCATCTCAATTCCCTGTCAAAGCTTCGCCTTCCTCGTACTCATCGATCTCAGCTTCTGCTTTGATCTTCTCCTCAATCCTTACAGTGTGTGATTGCATGCTCATCACCCCTGCATCTGCCTGCTGCGGTTTTCTTCACCAAATTGCGCGAAGCCAGCCATGCAATGCAGTATGCACTGACAAGGAACATCAAGAGCCACCAGCTAGATGAGAACTGTCGCATAAGGTCGTCACTCGTTCTTCGTCATGACTTCCTCGGTAATGTTGTGGTACCTCCGTCGCTTCATGCAAACAAACTAGGAACAGCGGTGCTTCTACATGCGGCATGCGACAAGGATGAATGGATTCGGCTCCTCTTGACGATAACACGGTGGACACATGTTAGCGGGACGGATGGGGCAACGACTGATCAGGTTCTGTCAGATACATGACCAGCATGTAGTGAAGACGGATTGGATCGGAGAGACTTGAAATGACTTGCGGCAAGGCTTTCATGCGGCTGGGCACTGCAAGTCCTTGTTGTCACGCGTCTTTACACGAGACTTGTCCTGGTGCAGGCCACAGCTGTGCAGAAGAGTCCAATGGCGCGCTACAGTCACCGGCTGCGACATGTCATGCGGTCCCCGCTTGGCGACTTCGCCCCGGTTTGGCCGCACTAGTCACTACTATGCGCCTCGCCCGGCTCGAGCTTCACTTCGTCCTCCTCCTTGATCTTGGCCTTGTTGCCCTTGAAGAGCAGGGGCCTCTTGCAAATCATGTAACGTGGACACAGCACCACGAGTAGAAGCGACGAATACCATCTACAAACACACAGCTGCTAAAGAACCAAGGCATTTGGGATACGACTTGGGTGCAGACTGTCCGGCAAGAGGGCCACGCCCTGCTTCCTTCTTCCCAGTGTCATCATCTCGGAAGAGAAGAAATGTACTGGCAGGGTGTCTCTTCGGTATCGGGACTTTCCTTCAAAAACAAGGTACCGGATACCGAAAGTCGGAGGTGCTGCGACTGCCCAAGTAGCGCCGCGGCAAGAAACATCAACAAACTGAATGCAGGCAAGCGCGGTTTTTCCAATGTGTGGAAAACCGCCTCCCAGGACAGCACGAAGTCGAAGCAAACTTCCGTCCAAATTCTGATGAACTCCTGTGTACAGCGCGAACATATCCGTTCTGCGAGTTTCAGCGTGAAAGCACACTTTGTGCTTTCGTTTTGCACTGCTAAGTGTTGCGACTGTCATGCAACAAGCACCTCTCCGTTCAGCAGCTTAGCAACCTGTACAGACATCGACACCATCGAGAAGCAAGTCGTGGCGCACAGCAGCCGCGTCAACCGGATCTGAAGTGAGACATTGGCAGCAAAGGTGGAAATTCATGGGAATCATGAATAGCTCCTTCACGGCAACACACGACAAGGTGAGCAAACACGAATTCCACCAGTACACCGGCTGACTTGAGATGCGGCCCAAGTCAGTCTGCAGCTCCACAAGCTGCAGCGCACTTGCCTGTTCCATAAACATCTGCACTGCACACAAGGAAATACACTGCAACCCATCCGGCCGTCTCCAAAATCATGCGAAAACACAGGAGTGACGAAGTGAGGCAACATCCCTTTGTGGCGCCGTGATCTCTGAGGTTCGGGCTTTCTGACCAGTGAAACTTTGCGGCATTAAGCCAAGTAGTCATTGAATGCCTGCCACATGCGCCAGAATCCGAATGGGAGTCCGAAAAAGCGGGAACTGCCCTAAACGACGCAAGTTTTACCTGAATCTGCTACACTGGTTAACCTGGCTGGTTGTCGGCAGCTGCCGAGGCTTTTAAGTACCAACGGGGAATCGACGGGAATCGACCCTACTTCGCTCGTCGTGGAAGAACCATGTTGTTACACATTCTTTTGTTGTATTGTTGTCTCCACACATGTATTCATAAAGCTATGTAGGCATGCACTTCTAAATGCCTGCGGCGAAGACTAGCATCGCACCACGCATGTTAAACGGTACGTCTGCATTCCGACTTCGCTGCCATCGATCATCATGTGCTTGTTGATACTCACTCCTGCGCCATGTCGTGACGTGTGCATGTGTGGATACCAGAATCGTACATGCTGCCAGCGGCTGCCAAGAGACGAAGCGACGGCTGCCACACACCCTCGACGATTTCATCGGGGCTGGGTGGATTGGTCCTTAATGCGGAGGACTTTGTCTACATGAAGACCAGACCAACAGAGAGGTTGTATACTTACCTCTAAATTGACTCTAAATCTGATATCTAACTGTCTATCTATGTATCAATCAGCTGCTGGAGGCTTCTATATATGCTGAAAGCTCGACATTTGTGATACCACCCAACCGGCAGGCTGCCCTCCGTTTCAGATGCTTGACATTTCTTTCCAGCATTCAAGGTATCTTTTGTCCCACCTCTGCCAACTGAGCTGCACTTACAACCAAAGTTACTACGGTTGTTAATAGCTCATTTCGTGGCTGGCGTCTGGGCTAAGTCTAGGTCGCACAACGAGAGGTGTCGGTATCGCCGTCGCTGTACCACACTTTAAGAGGCGGGCCAAGAGTCAGTTGCAGCGGAAGCACGAGCAGGAGCAGTAGCAGCTTTTGAATGGTAGTAGTAGCAGTAGTGGTAGTTGTTGTAGTAGTAGTAGCAGCAGCAGAAGTAGTAGTCATTCGTACTCCACTACTAGTACAAGGACCAGTACTGGAAGTCGAAGCGGTAGTCGCAGCCGTAGTAGTCGTCGTCGTAGTAGTAGCAGCTGTAGTAGTATTCGTAGTAGTAGTAGTAGTAGTAGTAGTAGTAGTAGCAGTAGTAGCAGTAGTAGTAGTAGTAGTAGTAGTGGTGCTGGTAGTAGTAGTAGCAGTAGTTTCGTCACCAACTTGGCACGGCAGTGACAGCTCTACGGGGACTCAAATAGCGCAAGACACACAAACCCCCAGATTGAAAGGACAACAGCCAACACAGAAGGTGGTAGTAGCAGCAGTAGCAGCAGCAGCAGCATTAGTAGTAGTAGTTAGTAGTAGTAGTAGTAGAAGTAGCAGTACTAGTAGTTTTTGTTTTTTGTCGCCCACATGGCACGCCATTGACAGCTCCGCGGGGACTTAGATGGTAACTAGTCCCGACTCGAGTCACGACTCATCCCCATATTGTTTGAAAACAGCAGAACAGAAGTTAGGGTCAACAGGATTACTGGGGCTGCGTCGATCCGCTCACTACTCGCCACCCCTTTGTTTAGCAAATTACGCGAGGGCATGTTAGTAGTAGTCGTTGTTGTTGTACAATACAGTACAGTCGTGGAAGTGGTACTTAGTGTCACTAGTCGTCGATGCAGTAGAAGGAGCCATAGAATTCTTGCTAGTTTTTCCATGGTCGTAAACAAAAAACCAGCGAAGTTTCTTGGGGCGCCCGCCTAGCTGACTGAGTCGCACTGCAATCAACACAGGAGAGTCCCCACAAATTCAGCGCCTTTCTTCGTCCAGAGCAGCAGGCTCAATGCACAGCTAGTTTTTTGTCGCTCGCACTCGGCAGGCAGGCGAGGTTTGGGGTCATTCCGGAACCAACTACATACTCAGCGTATTCACCGAGTTTTAGCCCCACACCGAGCATGCACACAAGCATTAACGGTCAGACTGTCTTCAACTTGCCGTGACATGTCCACTCCCGTGACCCATTGCACCCGAGCCAACTTCCGTCAGTACCCATATCGTGCAGGCCAGGATAACAACTCTACGCACCTCCAATCTGGCTTTGCCCTCGAGTCAGGCTTTCAAGCCGAGCCCTGTGATGGGGCACAGCTAGTTACTAGTTACACTCCGACAGCCATGCTGTCGCTAAAATTTCGCGGGAATTCTGCGAGTAAGAGCGTGCTCTCGCCACAGACCGTTGCAGATGTTATTGTTCGATCCCCCCTCTCCGGGCAAGCCTCGGCGGAATTGCATCTGAGGGGGCAACTTAGACCTGGCGCCACAGTCCCTCAGCTGGCTTCTAAGCCTTTCGTTTTTCTGGCGCTCCCCACGGCAGGCGACTACACTCCGACCACAGCCCCTCGCGCACGCTGCCGACAGACCGGCCCTGATTTTGATTTGGTTTTGGGATTTGTGGCGCTCTTGGACTCAAAATCCTCCATTGCTGGGGGATCTAAGCTGGCATAACAGGCACGGTTGAGCCGGTTGAGAGCTTGTCAGAGGCATTGTGCCAGTATGCAGTACACATACAAATATACCCGTACATACACCAATGCATACATACCTACGTGAACGGTGTCCGCATCTGCGAAAAGGTGTCTAGCTAGAGACGAAGCCTTCATTGCAATCCAGGACTCTTGGGCACCACGAAAGCATCCCGCCTGCAACACTTGATGAACTACGTGGTCACATTTCCACGTATTAGACAGCTGAGGCGAGAGAAATTGGAGTGATTTCACTGCTTTACATCCACATGCCGATCGCCATACAGGCACGGATGCTGATCGGGAAGCGCGGCATAGTTGGCCGATAGATGTCACACTTCACAAGCACTCCCCTTCCTGCTCCCGTCTCCCTTTTGCAGTGCCCCCTGCAATGCCGCACCTGAGCCTGAGTGCCAGCGGCGACGAGCCGCTTACGAAGGCGTGAACCAGGTAACATCTGTGCACCTGGGGCCCAAGCGAATGCCCGCAAAAGAGGAAATACCAGCCCTCACCCAAGGCTTGGAGCCGATTTGTCCTGATTTCTGCAGCCCAGGCTCGGGATCGAAGTCTGCGACGCGTCCCCAATGTCCGTTGAGCTGCCTGGGACAGCAATCCTTGCAGCGCCTTGCACCTTGACTTCATAGCAGCTGAGTTGCGGAGTATGCACCAAGCCATTGATGAGAACTTCCCGACCTTACTACACCCACAGAACATGCATAGGCAGTTGCAGACCGGAACTGGACACATTACGTGCTCCTGTTGGCACGACCTGGCCTACTCCGCCACTTCATGCTCTTCGGCTGTCAAGTGTTCAACCCTGACTTTCTGAGCCAACCCACTGGCGTGCCCAGGGCCTGTTGACTGTGTTGTCGCTTGCGTGATCGCGCGCGCGGGTGTGTGTGTGTGTGTGTGTGTGTGTGTGTGTGTGTGTGTGTGTGTGTGTGTGTGTGTGTGTGTGTGTGTGTGTGTGTGTGTGTGTGTGTGTGTGTGTGTGTGTGTGTGTGTGTGTGTGTCATCCCCTCAAACGAGGTTTGTCGTTGCATGTATCACAGTCAACAGGGGGCCAGCGGAGAGGCAGGTAAGATGAGTGCGTGCGCTGGCCAACGAAGACCGCACACTCATCCACCTGTCCTCTCGTGAAAACGTACCTGCATCCGCTTGAGAGAGCACCTGACCAATGGGAGTGAAGCTATGTGCAGCAGTCATGTCCATGTCATTGGGTCTTGAGTCCCACAGACAAATGCAGCACCTAGACAGTAAGACAAAGGAGAAAGAAGGCAAAAGAGGCGAAGAGTCCGACTGCCACCTGGATCATGAGATCCATGCAGGTGTGATTCAGTATCGTCTTCCCTCGTGGGCACGAGCTGAGTGGAGGGTAGCCCCCACGAAACTGACCTCACAAGACTTTCTCGGAGCTCGTGACTTTCTTGAAATTGAGCGACGATAAACTTCCTGAAAAGACAGTACTTGTGCTGTTTGTTGATTGGGTTCCCCCTCGTCTTGTTGTGCTTTTTGTTTTTCTGTTGGGTTGAGCGCAACAGTTACCTGCAATCCTTGGTGACTAAATTGTCCCCAGTGTGACTTTCCCTGCATAAAGTTCAGGATATGAAGGACGACTTTACAATTCTGAAAGGACCCGTGAAAAACAGGCCTCTGAAACTCAACCAGTGACTTCACAGAAGATGGTCGGACCAGCCATTCCACAGAAATCTTGACTGCCAAGCCACTTAGCCGTTAGGTTGCTTTTGTATTTAAAGATATCGTAGAAGCTGCGTGAGAGCAATCTGATGTCTGGGCCCCAGCTGTGCTTTGATAAACGTGAGATAAGGTTCAGAGTGCCGCGCAAGTGTACTGCAAGTGGATTGCAAGGACTTTGAAAGCGTTTTTGGATCACGTTCAGTTCGGAGCTTAATCTGCACCTTGGAATGCCAATGTGGTGCCAGCACTTTTTGGTTTAACGTTCAGTTTGGAGCTCAGCTGCATCTCGGACTGCTACTGTCGTGCAAGTGAAGATATGTGCAAGGTGAGCACAAAACAATTTGCCGTGCCACAGTGTTGTGTCATGAGCCTCAGTGATTGCTCCTTGGAAAGGGTGTGTGTGTGTGTGTGTGTGTCTGTCATCCCTGAAACTAAGGGCTAGGTTTGTCGTTGCATGTATCACAGTCAGCAGGGGGCCAGCGGAGAGGCAGGTAAGATGAGTGCGTGCGCTGGCCAACGAAGACCGCGCACTCATCTACCTGTCCTCTCGTGAAAACGTACCTGCATCCGCTTGAGAGAGCACCTGACCAATGGGAGTGAAGCTATGTGCAGCATGTATGTCCATGTCATTGAGCCTTGAGTCCCACTGAC